ATTTTGAATAACAACATATTTCTTGTGAAAACAACAGATTTTATGCATGAAAATTGTGCCAAATGCAGCAAAACTGTGTGTAGTGTTTTGAGAAAAAAAAAGTGTTTAAGAACTGCAGTTTGAGTGTAAAGCAAGAATTGTGCTTGTAGTTGAGCAGAATTGGTTCAGGGAGTCAGTGCATGAGTTACATGTTGTGGTCATTGTGTCTCAGGTTCATTCATTCAATCTTTATTTATACAGGCTAGCCTCATTGAGCCACGAGGACTCATTTACAAGAGGGTCCTGTTCCAGACAGAACATATAAAGTACAGACAAGTACCAGGATTTGTGTGTAAACAATTCATAAAAACTGTAATCTCAAACTGCAAACACCAGTCACAAAGAGAAGATGAGACATCTGAAATGGCATGCTCCTTATCTACCCTCATTTAATAAAATGCTGTTTCTAACGGTCATTATGGCTCTTTTTGGTTTCATAACCACAGTAACCTTTCCCAAGATTTGGGAACTTGGTCCAGACTCAGGAATTGTTCATAAAGATCAACCAGGTCTAATAATAACCAGTAGTTGCTAAAACAACTCAAAAAGTAGTTGCACAATTTTACCCTGAGACAGTCTGCCAACAGCGACTAACCACTAGCAGTAACCTCACGTCAGCTGAAGGCCACAGATGGATCAAAGCAATCATCCAACATGCAGAACTAGACATCTCGCACATGCTAGAGCAATTATAGAAATTCACAGTACGTCAAACTGAACTTATTGACACTGAAAGAAGAGCAAAATGTTTCCTAGTGCTCACAGCGGCTACGATCATCGGCGCATTAATCAATCTAGGCATTGTGTCTGTTAATTCACTGAACGTTGCAATTATTAAACGCCATGTGGAGGAACTACAACAAAATTCCCTGAAATTCAAAAGCAACTACAATACATTTACAGAAGGATACACTAAAATTCTTAGGGAAAATTCCTAGAAGTCAGAGTTTATTTGTCATTCACACCACATGTGGTGGAACAAAATTTTGTACACAGAGTCCCAGTTACATCCAACAATAAAATGTAAAAGAAAAACAGTAATAAGATCTAAGATATGAACTAAGAAAAACATTAACTAAAACTACACTAACCACTAATAGTATAAAAACAATACGCCGAACATCAGCACGAATGAGTCTGTGTGAGCAGATGAGCACGAATGAACACAGCAACATGAAACAGATCAGCAGCAACATGAAACAGATCAGCAGCAACATGAAACAGATCAGCAGCAACATGATGTGATTTTTCACAGTGATTATTCTGGTTAGAGATTCATGAGTCTAACAGCCTCAGGGTAGAAGCTGTTCCTCAGTCTAGTGGTTCTACACTTAATGCTCCTCAACTTCCTTCCTAAGGGGAGCGGGGGGAAAAGTGTGTGCTGGGTGAGTGGGGTCCTTGATGATGCAGGTGGCCCTCTTCCTGCATCTGGAGGTGTAAATGTCTGTAATGGTGGAAAGACTGACTCCAACATCTTCTGTGCAGCCTTCACCACTCTTTGCAAAGCTTTTCTTTCTGCAGCTGTGCAGCCTCCATGCCACACGTTGATGCTGGAGCACAGGATGCTCTCCACTGCACACCTGTAGAAGGAGGTGAGGACTGAGCTTCACAGACCAGGTCGCCTCAGCCGCCTAAGGAAGTAGAGTCTCTAATGAGCTTTCTTGATCAGGCTGGTGGTGTTGTTGCCCCAGCTGAGGCTGTCATTGGTGCACACCCAAGTACTTGTAGCTGGAGACCACTTCCACCGCATGGTCCACATCAGTGAGGTGACTATCATTTAGATAAGAGACAGCATCATTGCAACATTGACATTACTACATTTTTCCACATGCACTTCCTCAAACTGGATTCAACCATGATCAAGAAACTCCAGTATGAAGGCGTGAAAACCATTAATGTAGAACTTCTTGATAATGTTCTCAGAGAAGTCTCCAAAGTCTCCAAGCCTATTTTTGTGATTCCAACAGAAGGTTGGCTTGAAACACAGCAGTGAAAGTTATCTATAGTTGGCAGGCCATAGACTGACAAAGTCCTCTGGATGGGGGATGAAACGTTTCTAAAGAAACTGGTCCAGATGACACGATTTAACCTTTTTTGTTGTTGTCTACCTGGATGATTGAGCTTACAACCCTTTTTCTGAACCACTTTGACCTTAGTTGTCCTCAGGCTGTTTCTGTGAGTAGCAAGTTGGCCATTTGGCCTAAAACATTGATTTCTGTACATGATGATCGATTCAAAAAAGTTAAATCTGGACAACTTCCTTCTTGATCATGTGAGCAGCTGGTTTTGATTGTCAGCAGCAAAACTGGTTGATCCACTCTAAGAAGGTGCTATTTATAAGACTGAGCTGAATACAGCACCTCAGACTGAGGAAGTCTTTCGGATGAAAGACGAAACATTTCTACATTTTTTGTTGTTGTTTTGCTTTGTTTTATTTTTTGAATGTCCAGAGGACCAGATTTAACTTTTTGGGATTTTTCTACCTGGATTATTGAGCATGCATCAGAATATGATGATGGGTGTGTTTTGCATGCAGCCTACTTTTGAGATTCCAACAAGAGGTTGGCTTGAAACACAGCAATGAAGTCTACCTATGAGACAGATCTGGTTGGCATGCCATAGACTGAGGAATCCTCTGGATGGGGAACGAAACGTTTCTCACTTGAAGAAACTGGTCCAGATGACACGATTTAACCTTTTTTGTTGTTATCCTGGATGATTGAGCTTACAACCCTTTAACAATGCTAACATTAACATCACCAATCTCCCCATGATTTTTAATCTTGTGCTCCAATTCCTGAAGAGATTGTCGAGCTAGACTGAACTCCCAAGTTGTTTTTAGGATCTATTTTGATTGTTGTTGGTTAACTGGTTGCTAAGTTTAGTTCTGAAGCCACTTTTTGAAAGGAATGCTCAAACACGGTTGACCTTTCATGAGTTCCTCTTCGAAAAATAAATAAATTATCCCCAAAAAGCGTGTAAAGATAACAGCAATTCCATCAATGGAGAATAACTCTTTTTGAATGCATTACAAAACCTTTTCTCTCAAGTATTTTTGAATTTTTATTATCACAGTTACGAAAATTCATCTAGTTGAAACTTTGTCACTTTTTTGATTAAGTATACTTTTATTCTCTTTTGTTAAATGAATAATGTTTTAAGAACCATTTTTAACGTTTTAAAATAGTCTGTGTCCTCTTCATTTTTCTTGTTTTTACTATACATAAAAAGAACTTTATGTGATGCATTAGTAATAACCGGTCTAAGGTTGCACTGTCATCGGGGTGTGTACCACTATGACATCTGGACCTTCCATGCCTCCTGCTTATCCAGTCCTTGGCATCCTTTCTGATGACATCAGGACTTCCTTCATCCTGGTTCCAACTATTCACTGGGAATATTCCACCATCTTCATTTCACGGTGCTAACTGGTGGCACCTACCACTGGATACCTTCATTCTTACACCTGCTTGGGATGCTAGGGTGCCGACTAGCCATTTGCTTTGCTGACTTTTGTTTGGTTTCACTGTGTATAATTTACTACTTTTTAAACAAGTTATTCTCCAAAATATTATCCTTTATCATTTGTGTTGATTTTTTTTAGTTTATTATTTTTGTAAAAATAATAATAATAATAAAACAAAGAGAAATTTGGTCTCCTCCTTTGGATGTATATTAATTTGCTGTTGTATAGATTTCCCTGTAATTACCGGTGATAGGTTCTACTTCAGTGGCTGAGTTCTGATTATTAAAGGGTGAATGCTATTTTTACACATATAGAGCTGAGAACCTTCCCCATCATGAATCAAAATACAAGATGGCCACTAAAGCTTAAAAGAAAAAACTGACACTAACTCATTGATTTGATGCCATGTTAAGCTGAAATTTGGCATGGCGGAAGCTGAGAGCGAACCCCAGTACATCCATCCATCCATCCATCCATTTTCTTTACCCGTTTATTCCATTTTGGGTCACGGGGGTCGCCGGTGCCCATGTCCAGCAATCACTGTGTGAGGGGCGGGGTACACCCTGGACGGGTCGCAAGTCCATCACAGGGCCACATAGAGACAAACGAGACAAACAACCATTCACTCTCTCACTCACACCTAGGGACAATTTAGAGTTACCAATCAGCCTAACATGCATGTTTTTGGTCTGTGGGAGGAAACCGGAGTACCCGGAGAAAACCCACACATGCACGGAGAGAACATGCAAACTCCACCCAGAAAGGCCCCCGGACCGGGATTTGATCCAGGGACCAGCTCGCTGAGAGGCAGCAGCTCTACCAGTTGCGCCACCGTGCTGCCTAACCCCAGTACATAGTACTGCCAAATCAAAAATTTAAAATGACAGCAGGGTGGCAGTACTCCATGTCAAAGATTCTCCAGGAACTTTCCAGTTAGCTTTGCACTCGTTAAAGCAACAACTTAATTACTGCTGAGTTAAAGCTATTAAAATGTAGCTTTGGTGGCCATCTTGGATTTTTATTGGAATTCGGTACTTATTGGGCACTGCTCTCAAGCTACTACCACACCAAATTACATCAACACCATCGATCTCAGAACTGTAATTCCATCAGGGGGGTTTGGATGTGGACCTGGGGGATCTAGATGTGGACCTAGGGGATGTGGGCCTGGGGTCCTGGATGTTGACCTGGTGGTCTGAATGTGGACCTGTGGATATGTTCTGTCACACCTGTCTTCAGGTTCTATTTAAAGTTCTTTGGTTGTTTTTGAAAGTTTGAATGAAACCATCTCAACTGTCAGAACTTGTGAACCACCATACACAGAGCTAAGAGGTCCACAAACCAGGTTCTTCTGGACGTTCCCAGATCCAGACTCGGAACCAGGGACTTTGGTGGATCCGAATCTCCTGGATTCTACATTTTGGTCGCCTTGCCACGTGACCTTTTCTTTCTGTGAAATGTGCGTTTTATTTTGAAACGCTTGGAAAGTACTTCCGACCGGAAACGCGACGAAGAGGCGGATTCGTTGAGCAGCTCGACGCTTTGGACTCACCTGGCGGACAGGTTCGGCTCGAATCCGGCAAGACTCCGGTAAGTTCCGTGCAGAACCCAGCAGCAGTCCCGGCACCGAACCCAAACTAACCGAACCAAAGCATTAAGCATTTGTCATATCCGAGCTAAATATGTTGTTAACTAAATCCGCTCAGGTTCCGGTTCATGATGGTTCTGCATCGGATGTTTTGGTCTTGCGAACCAACAGGTTCCTTGAGCAGGTCGGAACCATGTTTTTACCGCATCTCGACCCGCTTCATCCATGACCCACTTCTGTCTGGATCTGCTCCGGTTCCGCTCGCTTCTGTTCGAACCGAACTGTTCGGGTCTGGAAAGTGTTGTTTTTTTATTATTATTATTGTTTGGTCATGCGACTTTGCTCGGCTCATCTGAAAACAGGTCAGAACCGGTGTTATGTCTTAATTCAATATTTTAACAAAACAAGAGCCTGCAGCATGTAGACATATTTTCAAAGTAAATGACTTCCGGTAGCCGTCGGTCCACGTTAGTGATGAACCAGAACCAGAGACGATCTGCAGCCAGGTATTTCTGCAGAACTGACCCAGACCTTCTTACTTACTGTTTTGCAAACCTTTTCAAATTAACAGTTATTGATGTTTGAAAACCGTCCAGAACCAGAACTGGACTGAAAGAAAGAGAGTAAGACCTTCAGGTAGTCTGGAGAACCTTTGATCTGGCCACTTTCTGATCCAAGAATGGGTCAGACAACATGAAATTTGAATAGATCCTGGACCTGGACAGGTCCCCAGTCCACCGCAGGGACACCTGAAGACAAATGAGACAACCACTTTCACGTTGGGATGGTTTAATTCCCAATGAACCTGACACAGGTTTTGGTCTGTGGAGGAACCTCACGGTGAGACCAGTGACTGTTGCTGTGAGGGAGCAGCTCCAACCACTGCTCCACCATGCTGCTTGTGTTATCTAGTCACACTCTTGTGACTGAAAACTCTGACTTTCAGCTCAAAGTAACTGGACAAGAGAAAACTCAGGCAGCAGGTAACTCACCTGAGGCCTCAAGTACAGCGAGGTAAGAGGAAACAAGCACAGCTCTGTTACCATGGTAACAGTTTGACATGTTCTACAGTTCTGGTTCTGTCCACATAGAATCTGCAGTGAGGCACAGTAGAATTCTGAAACACAACCACATCAGAACTGGGCCGGTCCAGTTGATGGTGTGGAAAGAGTTTATTTATTGTTTATTTGTCATATGCAGGTTAACACAAGGTCAACAATGCAATGAAATGTTCAGGATGAGAAGAACCGATTTGACTCGTTAAGGAAAAAAACAAGAAATACTAAAGCATGCAATAAAAGTACAAAATAAAGTACCAAAAGGTGAAAAAGAAATATATTTACAAGGTCCAAGAGAAATATAGTAAATGACAATATGGTAGAATATAATGGTGCAAGTAGAATGAATATATAGAATAGTATTTCACAGCTAGTAATATTAGCTTAAATTCACATGATATATAATGCACATAACTAGGGGTGGCACAATACCAGTTTTTGTCAAACAGAGTACGAGTACTAGAGTTTGTGTACTCGCCGATACCGAGTACCGATACAAAGTACTTACTGAGTTAGAACGAAAACATTACACAATAATTTAAAAATTGTTTGTTTTATTTAAAACAAGATGGCTCTCTTTACTAAGGTACTTTGCTAAGGTGGTGTTTAAAATGTCCAACTATTTAACGACCGACAGAAACCACTTCAGCTACATTCCTCTGAGCTAAAAGCCCCTCGTTAACAGCAAGCGACACATGGGAGGCGGGGGAGGCCAGCGTCACTCAGCACATTTATCATGTTTTTAGCATTGTCTCTGAGCACAACATGAACAGAACTTTTGGGAATATGCCATGTCTGAAGCATACCATCAAATGCACCTGCTGTGACACTGCTAGTGTGTGAACCCTGAAGCTGCTGTGCCTGTAACACGGCTCTCTGGAGAGTCAAATCTTCAGCAATCCACTGCACATTTAAACTAATAATAGACAATGGACTGCTTGTCCAAACATCCGTAGTCGAACTGAATGCAGAAATGTCCTGCAACAGGCTATTGATTCGGCAAAGTTTTGTCAACAATATGGTGGCGGCTGGGAATGTAACGAGGCTCCGATATGTTGAGAAGATGTTGAAATCCAGAATCATCCGCCACTGAAAACAGCTGGTCGTCAAAAGCGATAAATTGGGTAAGAGCTTCAGTTCTCATTACCGCACGTGGAGCCATTTTTTCATGTTTCTGGGGTATTTGCTGCAGCGTTGGTTGTGATGTGCTGCTACCAGCAGCAAACTCTGAAGTCTGCCTCCTATTTCGTCTTCAGGTGTTTAATCAAGTTGTGTTGAAACTGCTGGTGTTCGCCCCTCTTGACAGTTTAGCTGAGCACAGCAGTCAATCTACATTTTTTAATATCTTCCGTGTTTATCTTAAAATATCTCCAAACTACAGACATTTTTTAAATCTTCGGTCACTTGCGCAGCGGACACAGAAAGGGCACCACCCATTATATAAGTGGCATCTGTCCCAGGTATCGGGGCATTTTTGACGAGTACAAGTACTTGTAAAATGCTGTTATCTGGCAGGACACCACTACACAGAACATATACTACACTGGCTGTGTGACGGGTAATAACATTAGAGATGACTGAATTATGATGGTATGGTAATGACATACACTATATTGCCAAAAGTATTTGCTCATCCATTCAAATTGTCAGAATCAGGTGTTCCAATCACTTCCATGGCCACAGGTGTATAAAATTAAGCACCTAGGCATGCCAACTGTTTTTACAAACATTTGTGAAAGAATGGATCACTCTCAGAGCTCAGCGAATTCCTGCATGGAACTAGGATGCCACCTATGCAACAAATCCAGTCGTGAAATTTTCTTGCTCCTAAATTTTCCACAGTCAACTGTCAGCTGTGTTATAAGAAAATGGAAGTGTGTGGGAATGACAGCAACTCAGCCACGAAGTGGTGGGCCACGTAAACTGACGGAGCGGGGTCAGCGGATGCTGAAGCGCATAGTGCGAAGAGGTCGCCAACTTTCTGCAGTCAATCACTACAGACCTCCAAACTTCACGTGGCCTCAGATTAGCTCAAGAGCAGTGTGCAGAGAGCCTGGGGAGAGAGAGAGAGAGAGAATGGGTTTCCATGGTCAAGCAGTTGCATCCAAGCCATACATCACCAAGTGCAATGAAAAGCGTTGGATGCTGTGGTGTAAAGCACACCACCACTGGACTCTAGAGCAGTGGAGGCGCATTCTCAGGAGTGACGAATCGTGCTTCTCCATCTGGCAATCTGATGGATGAGTCTGGGTTTGGCGGTTGCCAGGAGAACGGTACTTGTCTGACTGCATTGTGCCAAGTATAAAGTTTGGTGGAGGGATTAAGGTGTGGGGTTGTTTTTCAGGAGCTAGGCTTGGCCCCTTAGTTCCAGTGAAAGGAATACTGACTGCTTCACCATACCAAGACATTTTGGACAATTCCATGCTCCCAACTTTGTGGGAACAGTTTGGAGCTGGCCCCTTCCTCTTCCAACATGACTGTGCACCAGCGCACAAAGCAAGGTCCATAAAGACATGGATGGCAGAGTCTGGTGTGGATGAACTTGACTGGCCTGCACCTCAACCTGATAAAACACCTTTGGGATGAATTAGAGTGGAGACTGAGAGCCAGACCTTCTCGTCTAACATCAGCATATGACCTCACAAATGCGCTTCTGGAAGAATGTTCAAAAATCCCTCCTAAATCTTATAGACAGCCTTCCCAGAAAAGTTGAAGCTGTTCTAGCAGCAAAGGGTGGACCAACGTCATATTGAACCCTATGGATTAGGAATGGGATGTCACTTAAGCTCATATGTGAGTCAATGCAGGTGAGTGAATACTTTAGGCAATGTAGTGTACATGATACAGCCACATAGTGCAGCAGCAATAAACATATTAGATGTCACAGATGTAGTTTAGTGCAATATTGTTGTCAGTAGTGCAGTGTTATTGTCAAGAGTTCAGTAATCTGACAGCTTGTGCATAATAACTGTCTTTGAGTCTTTTCGTGCGCGATGCCAGGCTCCTGTACCATCTGCCTGAGGGTGGTAGATGGAAAAGTCCTTGTACTGGGTGGGTGTGGTCCTTAATGATGCTGCATGCTTTACACAGACATTGGCTGTGGTAGATGTCCTGGATGATGTGGAGACTGCTACCAGTGATGTCCCCTGCTGTTTGCACCACCCTCTGTACTGCTTTCTGACTGGTGCAGTTCCCATACCACCCTGTGATGCAGCCTGTCATCAGGCTCTCAATAGTGCACCTATAAAAGTTTATGAGGATGCTGGTGTTCGTATCAAACTTCTTTAATCTTCTTAGGAAGTAGAGTCTTTGTCAGGCTTTCTTGACCACAGTGTTTGTATGTAATGCCCAGAACAAATCCTCATTAATGTGAACTCCGGGGAACTTGAAGCTACTAACCTGCTCCACCTCAGTGTTGTTTATGTTGATGGTGGAGTGCTGGCCTCCACGCTGTCTCCTGAAGACCACCATCATCTCCTTTGTTTGGCTGACATTCAGAGACGGGTTATTATCCCGCTCCAGCTGGTCAGTGATTTCACGTCATCTCTGTAGGCACTCTCGTCGTCATTGATGATGAGGCCCAAGATGGTGGTGTCAGCATACTTGAGGATGACATTAGAGCTGTGCTTGGCGGTACAGTTGTGTGTAAATAGAGCCTACAGGAGTGGACTGAGAACACAGCCTTGAGGTGTACCGGTGCTGAGGACTAGTGTGGAGAAGAAGTGACTGCCAGTTCTCACTGCCTGTGGTCTGTTGGTGAGGAAGTCCAGTATCCAGCAGCAGATGGACTTCTCCAGAACCAGTGTGGTGAGTTTGGAGACCAGTTTGGAGGGGATTATGGTGTTGATTGCTGAGCTGTAGTCAATGAAGAGCATTCTCACATAGGTGTATTCCTTCTGACTGAGGGGAGGTGTGAACTGCTAAAGCAATAGCATCATCTGTAGACCTGTTTGCTCTATATGTGAATTGTAGGAGGTTCAAGGTGTCAGGGAAACACAGATGTGTCTTGATAATTCGCTCAATGCACTTCATGATGACAGATGTGAGTGCTATAGGCCAAAAGTCATTAAGGCAGGATGCTGCAGAAGTCTTTAGGATAGGGACAACAGTAGAGGTATTGAAGATGGTGGACACAATAGACTGGCTCAAAGACAGGTTAAAGATATTGGTAAACACCTTGGTGAGTTGGTCAGTGAACACTCGGCACACGTCCTGGGATGCCATCAGGGTTTTGTGCGGCCGCCATGTTTTAGGAGGTTTTGGACATGAAAGCTCTGGAGATTTATATGCTTTTCTTTTTTAATAATAAAAACTAACATGAATGATGATCCTATTGTGTGTACAGGTAAAACACAGGCTCCACCCCCTCACTGCCATCACTTGGGAGTCATGGCGCTGATCTCTCTGGAAGACCTGGAAGGATTAGACGAGCAGCTGGACGATGACACTAGTGACAACCCCGAGCAGATGGATGAAGAGGATGAAGATCGCTTGCTGAGTCGCTGGCAGGCCATCGCCAGCACACACCAGGTGTCAGTTTCTGCAGGTGAGAGGGCGGAGCCAGGCGTGTTCGCTCAGCCTTGTCTCAGGTGACTCAGGTGTTTGTTGTTCCAGAAATGACCGAACCCATCCGGGAAATGACCCGCAACAACCAGCTGTTGGAGCCCCTCCCATTTGTCCTTATGTCCCGCCACGAGAAGGTAAAATACTAGACCTGACCCAACCAATGAACAGGTTTTAAAACTAAACTGGACCCGTGTTGTGCCTTTGGGACTGAATCTGGTTGTAGTCATGTTTTGAGCAGAACTCGCAACCTAAACGTTCAGGAAGCTGCTGTAAGGTCGGCCCGCAGTGGGGACGTGTCCTCAGCAGAGTCCTCCATGTGAGGTTATTATCTGCTGCCATGACGATCCAGCAGGTTCAGCTCCCAGGTCAGACACACCACAGCTGGTTAACTCAATAATCCTGGTTCTGCTCTGATCTGTCCAGATGGGGGAAGTTCAGTATGAGGAGCGGCTCTACCCGGCAGGGAACTGGGTCCGTGTGACCCGAGGAGAGACGCTATATGAGCAGAGCATATCCATGGCCTTCATGAAGCTCATGCACTACATCTGCAAGAACTCTTCAGGTGAGGCTCCTCCCACTGCAGAACACCTGAAGGTCATGTCCACTTTTACACTTGTAATGGTGTCACATGACATCACTGAGAGCATAATTTCTGACTGGCTGTTGACAGGTAGATACCTTGGCATGACTGTACCTGTGGTCAGTAACATTCAAGTGGACGACAGCGGGACATTTGTGAAGGATGTGGAGACGGCGTTCTTCCTGCCCGCCGAGTTCCAGAGCAACCCACCGTGCCCCTCAGACCCTGACATCAGTGTGGTCTACAGAGAACCAATCAGAGTGGTTGCCAGGTGAGGCCTTGGTCCAGTTCTGCTCTCTTCTACTAGTCAGTTTCTAACTTGCCGCCCTCCGATTGGCTGCAGGACGTTTTCCGGGATAACCACGGAGGAGACAGTGAGCTGGCAGATTCACCAACTCTGGGAGCTCCTGGACCTCGGAGACCACTTCCACCACAACCGTTACATGGTCGCCGTGTACGACAACCCTGGAGCGCCACGCCGCCGCAATGAGATCTGGTTCATCCGGAGAGACCTGTAGACTCCACCCATCCTTAGCTGATGGTCCAATCAGAGCCATCTTCTTACCTGATCGTCTGCTACCTGAAGCAGCTCTGGGATTACCTGACATCACTTCCTGTCGTGTGTAGCACTGTGTTGTTTGTTGTAGTACTGCGCATGCTCAGGTGTGACAGGAGGCTCCGCCCTCTCGCTGATCCTAATGTTTAATGAGAAACAGGTTTTTCAGGTTTCAGCCATTTTATTTTTTCATCAAACTGTTTCTCTTTCAAAAATAAAACAATTTTATGTTGAAGCCGTGGAGCTTCCTGCTGCGAGCGGAGCTGGACCTTCGTCAGGTTTCAGCCTCGGCTCGTTCTGGTCTCCAGGTAATGTCTCAATGTCAGATTTTATGCTCAAACTTCCATTTTGCTGTGAGCATCAAACTCCAATAAGTTTTGATTCAACAGGGAAAATAAAACTCTTCAACCAGCAATGACCCGTTTGATCTTTCAGAAACTCAGGAGCAAAATACTGTTATAAATTTTAATAAGTTTTCTACCTGGAACTCAACCAGGGTTTGTTACTGTTCACTCGCAGTGCGGCAGCAGTTCTCCTCCCAACCCATAGGTGACAAATCTGTTGTCTCAAGAAGCATCCAGTCCAGGTCCTGGAGGGCCACTATCCTACCTGTCAGATGTTTGCTGCTCCAACACTCCTGAAGCAATGGTTCAGTCAGCTCTTCATGGTCTGCACACAGACTTGGAGCAGGACTGGGCAGCCCTGGTCTACCTATTTGGAGTGGACGTGTGGAGACGGACCTCAGATTTGTATTCATTCTCTGAATTCAGGCTCTTCCATCAGTCTAAACTGGTTAGTTCAACATCCCCAGTTTCCATGGAAACAGGCCTCCTCACTTACTTGAACATGACATTATTGTAAAGAACAAAAATAAGATGTGAAACCCAAATAAGTTTATTTACAAAACAGCTCAGATGGTTTACAGTCATCTGAATTGACTAAAAAAGGCAAACGACACTTAAAACGAGAACAGGAAGTCAGGGGATGTGGCTGCGGTGTGATGTCATCCAGGTTAGATCAGATCAGCCACTGCAGAGACAAGACAGAACTGTATTAGTAACCAATCATTGCATTACCATGGTAACACTGCTCTGGACAGCTCGTACCGTTCATGGGCATCTCATCGATCTGGGTGGAGTAGTACTGCTCAATGTCTCGCAGGATCCTGATGTCGTCGTTCTTTACAAAGTTGATGGCCACGCCCTTCCTGCCATACCGACCCGACCGACCGATCCTTAAACAAATCATAGGTTTTGATTAACTTGGATACAAACCCTGATCACAAAACACATCTGCTGTCACAGTCTCTGATGGTTCAGCAGTGGCACGCTAAGTGGGTGGAGTCCATTTATCAGGTACAAGCATTTTAAAAACAAGTTGTCTGGTAAATGTTGTTTTTCCTTAAACATTTAATTTCCAGTTCCCCCCAACCCCCATACGAGTAAGGGATCATTTTGTTCCTTCACTTCCACGGTTCTACAAATCAACATGGATGAGTAGAACAAGAAGGCTGCGCTCAACCACAAGAAGTTTCTACTTTATAATCTTTTCAAAATAAAACGGGTCATGACAATCTCGTTATGTCTTCAGTTTATATACACCTCACAATGCACATCATCACTGAGTCGTACTCCGAAGAAACACACGTCTCAGGTGAGTCAGGCATGCATTCAACCTTTATTTATACAGGCTAGTCTCACTGAACCATGAGGATTCATTTACAAGAGAGACCTGTTAGTCTGAAGTCAGTTGTTGTGAAGTCAGTTGTCGAGGCAGAAGCATCTCAGGTGAGTCAGGTAAAAGTCGGGTGTCTCAAATGAGTCGGGGGGCGTCTGGTGAGTGTACCTATGGATGTAGAGCTCTCTGTTGTTGGGCAGGTCGTAGTTGATGATGAGGGAAACCTGCGGGACGTCCAAACCTCGAGCCCAAACGTCCGTTGAAATCAGGACACGACTGAAACACAAACAGGAATTTGTTGTTTGATATCTGAGAGTACGACTGTGTCTGAAGCTGTCTCCCTTTCTCTTCTTGTGAATGTCTCCTGAATGTCTTAGGGATGCACCGACACCACTGCTGATTTCAGTTGCCAGGAGGAGGAGGAGCAGTAGTGGG